TCGTATCCATCAACGGCAAGAAGAAATCTTGTTAAGATGTTACTACCCCCTTTGTGTTGGGAGTTATGCGGTCGGCCGGGGTTGTTTTTTAGCTTCGGGAGTACAGTATCTCCCTAATAGTCTGCAAACCCTATGTGGGCGCCATCAAGTTTCCTTGGAGACAGGTTCCTTACGAGCAGGAACTAGAGCACAGATAAATGGACCGTTTGTATTCTTAGTCAACAAGCACACTGCGTGGCGCGCGGGCCTCTCTCTTGTGTCCGTCTCTGGTGATGCGGTTGGGAGGTGTGCGTACAAAAAACCAGTACACATGTGTGACATCATCATGCACATCAGAACACATGTGTGACATCACCATGCACATCAGAACACAATGTGTGACATCATCATGCACATCAGAACACATGTGTGACATCATCATGCACATCAGTACACATGTGTGACATCATCATGCAATCAGAACACATGTGTGACATCATCATGCACATCAGAACACATGTGTGACATCATCATGCACACCAGAACACAATGTGTGACATCATCATGCACATCAGAACACATGTGTGACATTATCATGCACATCTGAACACATGTGTAACATCATCATACACATCAGAACACATGTGTGACATCATCATGCACACCAGAACACAATGTGTGACATCATCATGCACATCAGAACACATGTGTGACAACATCATGCACATCAGAACACATGTGTGACATCATCATGCACATCAGAACACAATGTTTGACATCATCATGCACATCAGAACACATGTGTGACATCATCATGCACATGTGTTTAAGTAAACACACTACAACGACTGCTCCATGCTCCGAAGATGCACAGATGCGTGCGTTTATTATGTGGACCATCGTCAATGTAAACAAATATAAACCCAAGTATACGTGACAAAAACGCGAAACCTGGAGTCATACAATCTGATTGCGTTAAATTAAAGTTTAAAAGTATATTTAATTCGACCTACCCCCCCCCTCCAACCCGTCCCCTCTAGCTCGTCCCAATGCAACCCTGGGTGTATACAGATTACACACACTACACGGCCTCACAGAAATCATGATGATACGGGCCCCAGAAGCCATGATAAAAAGGTCTCACAGAAACCATGATAAAACGGTCTCACAGAAACCATGATAACATGGTCTCACAGAAGACATGATTACACGGTCTCACAGAAGCCATGATAAAACGGTCTCACAGAAGCCATGATAACAAGGTCTCACAAAAGCCATGAAAACATGGTCTCACAGAAGCCATGATTAACATGGTCTCCATAGAAGACATGATAACATGGTTTCACAGAAGCCATGATAACATGGTCTTACAGAAGCCATGATCACACAGTCTCACAGAAGGCACGAAAAAACGGTTTCACAGAAGCCATGATAACAAGGTCTCGCAAAAGCCATGATAACACGGGCTCACAGAAGCCATGATAACATGGTATCACAAAAGCCATGAAAACATGGTCTCACAGAAGCCATGATTAACATGGTCTCCATAGAAGACATGATAACATGGTTTCACGGAAGCCATGATAACATGGTCTTACAGAAGCCATGATCACACAGTCTCACAGAAGGCACGAAAAAACGGTTTCACAGAAGCCATGATAACAAGGTCTCGCAAAAGCCATGATAACACGGGCTCACAGAAGCCATGATAACATGGTCTCACAGAAGTCATGATAATATGGTCTCACAGAAGCCATGATAACATAGTCTCACAGAAGCCATAATAACATGATCTCACAGAAGCCATGATAAAACGGTCTCACAGAAGCCACGATTACATGGTCTCGCAGAAGCCTTGATAACTCGGTCTCGCAGAAGCCATGATAAAACGGTCTCACAGAAGCCATGTTAACGTGCGAATAAAAGTTGGCTATTATTTTCTGTATCTAACAATGAGGAAAATAAGAAATTTGGTGTATAAGAGTGAAGGTAAGCCTTAGGTGAAGGTAGGCCTCAGGTGAAGTTTGGCCCCTGGATATGGTATGTTCGATTTAAGGTAGGTCCAAGTGAAGTAAGTGAAGGTATGCAGGTCCGAGTGAAGGTAGTAGGCCCCAGTGAAAGTCCATAGAAAGATGGAAACAAATATTGACCTTGATTTAGAGACCTGCAGAGTTTCTGTGAATCTCAATGAGCCAACTCTTTGATTCAAGCTTTCTAGTCTAATTTTTAATGCAATTTTTGAAGTCAGAGATACAAGTCAAGTATTCAAATCAAGTTTTCAAGTCAAGTTTTCTGGCCCGTTCTGGGAAATGTGAGAAAAGCAGCCTCGATCAGCCCAAAACATTAGTGATAATTAAAATTCAGAAGAGTGTATATATATATTTTAAAAAAGGTCGTGATTTTAGTCTAACTTGGAAGTGACCTTTATGATGACTGCACGTTACATACCAATCGGCGTTGGCTTGCATACAGTGGTCAAGAAATATTAAATACCGCGCTGAAACCAATTTTGGCACCAATTTAAGATTGTTTTAAAAAAGTAATAATAATAATATAACTAAACTGTGTTTCGCTCATTTATTCTTTATTTAGACGGAATGTTTATTTTTTTCAAGTATGAGACCATTCTCCAAGAATAAGACTTGGTGTGAACGTGTGGCCCCTGAGAACACGAGCCCGGGGTCGAATGGCCGGGCTGACAACTCTCGATTGTAAAGTTCCTAATAGTTTATTTTCTTTCAAGAGTTACTTTGGGAAAGTTTTTTTTTTTTGTTGTTTTTTTAAAGTAACAGAATCAATCAAACGCAAACGAAAAAGACGTAGATAATGTCAATGTTTCAGTGAATATTACATAGGAACTTCAAAGTTGAACAAACTTAACAAAGTTAACATTGTTTATCTTAATTAGTAACAATAATTTATAAAAGTAATTCTAGTATTTTTGTTAAGGAAAAAAGAGTAAAACAATGAATTAGAGAAAGATTTATTTAAAAAATAATATATAAAATATAATACGAGTAAAAAGTTGAGATTGAAATCATCAATGACAACAGTCTTTGGTAGACGAACCACGCACACACACAAAGATTACCAAGGGAGAAACCAATATTAAAAACATGATCTTAAACCTGCACGCGTTAAGGCACGAGATCTATCCTCAAATCTTGTTTGTCCCCCGTTATAATTGTATGCACATTACCAAAGAAGAATTTGATCCAGTTAATACTTTTAGCCAACAGAGATTTACTAAGAGATGCAGTTGATGAGAGGTTCTCAACGCGTCCAACCGAATCCTTTGCATTTTATCTTTTTTTTTTTTTTAAACATTCACCTTACCTCTACCAATCTTCACTTATTAAATCATTTATTGTTTTAATGCATGAAATTATTCCAATTTATGTGGCCCTTTAAAAAAAGTAAATCTCATTGACAGTATAAAATCATTGTTTTAATCCCCCTCTCTCTCTCTTCTCTCCCCCCCCCCCCCCCCCCTTTTNGCCCACTGCGTTGACTAAGGATAAGATTGACAACGATTTTCAATCACTTAAGGTTAATATTTTTTTCCGGTTGAAAATATCTCATTCTAAATAGGATTAGTTCTGCTTCTTTCTTGGCAAAATGAGAGTTAAACCTACTTTTTGAAGGGTGGGTTTAACAAAGATATATCTGAAACCCCCCATCGCTCTGTCCCCCACGCCTTGCCCCCCCCCCACTCCCCCCACTCCCTGCGTGGTAACCTCACAACCATTGGCGAGCTTCTTGTAACATGTCTGAAATCATACGTAACTTGATGAGACAAGGAGATATGTTAGCATTGATCTCTCAACCAGTGTGGACTAAAGGTAGGAGTTAATGTATAAGTAACTGGATGAGACAAGCAGGTATGTTAGCATTGATCCCTCAACCAGTGTGGACTAAAGGTAGGAGTTAAATGTATAAGTAACTGGATGAGACAAGTAGATATTAACGTTGATCTTACATTCTGAGTCAGTGTGGACTTCAGGTTAGATTTCATTGGAGTGATTTTCACTCATTTCAAGAAACACTAAATAGTAAATAAGCTTTAAAAGCTTTTCAATATAAGTATATGACCGAACTGGCGATTGCCCTTTTAAAACAAAAAAAAATCTGCTTTTCTATTTTTATGACAATTCAACGGACTCAAAATAAGAAAAAACTCGTTGGCGCACAAAAAATATGTATCAAAATTTTATCAATTTTAAAGATAAAAATAATACAAATGAAGCTTACAATCTTTAATTGTAAAACTATCAACGTCTTTAGAGTTATCTTTCCATATGCTCAAACTCTTCTGAAATGCTCCACGTCATCCATTCTATGCAGGGCTGGATTAACCATTAGGCAAACAAGGCACGTGCCTAGGGCACCAAGCATTTAGGGGGCACCACAAGTCCTCAAGAAAAATGTGCATATTGTCACGGTAGCATAATGGCATGGCATAAGCAAATAGCCAATGTAATATTGAATCGCACATTATTTAACCTCGGGCCCACAACCCGGGGGTAAAATACCCCCCACCCAGTTTTTTTCTATGTTTTGTTATTTTTCTTCAAGGTTTTTTTTTTTGCGCAAAATTAACTTTGATGAAGTACTTCAAAATTTTGCCCGTCGTAAATCTAGAAAAAAGTACTTTAAAATGTAAATGTGTGCTCACTCTCTCTGACTTTCTTATCTATCAAAAAAAGTTACAGTATTTGTGTCTACCATTATTACAAAATTAATTAACTATTAATTTTGATACAGAAATACCTTATTGTAGGTTTTTTTATGAGTGATAGTAGTACAAACATATGTGTTTACATTTCACAACTGGTTTTCTTTGTTAGTTTTTTTGCATAATATTGAACATACCAGCAGTCAGTGTAGGACCGGGGGCCCGGGGCAGTAGGGGGCACGCATGTGGGTTTGTGCCTAGGGCACCAAGATGGCTTAATCCGTCCCGGATTCTATGGAGGGGACCAGGATTCTCAAGCTCGTACATTTTTTCCTTCAAATTTTCTAGGATTGACCATTCCCCCACCCAGCTATGGACGCCATGTTTGTGATGGGCCTGGCTTTGGTCATCACGGGCATCTGTGTCAAGGGGACAGCTGCGAGCTGTAGTCCTGGTGACTACAGAGTCGTCGACCTGTCTCACAATCTGGACAGAAACTCTCTCTCGTTTCCTTTTAACGTCTCGTTCGAGTTGTCCATCCTGTTCAGGGGACTTGAACCCGAAGGCTACTGGTGAGTCCTTAAATAACAACATTTGTTTTAAGGATTTTACCGATTTGTTCAGCCAAAGCATATGATCATGAATATATTATTTTGTATTTTATTGTTTTTCAATTTATTGATGAGATGTGATTTTTGTTTAAATTTATGGCACTGACGCATGTATTATAATAAATTGATGAACTGAAATTTATGAAACTTACATCCCTCAACACATTTCACGTGTGTCAACAAACTTAGGAGTATCGTGCAACGTCAATTCAATGACGGCTCTGAACACATTTTGTGATACACAAAACAAACGGCTTTTCGTCCGTTTTTGTAATATTGTCTTTTACAGATAAGTAAAACAATAAGAAATACCACCTCCCCCCCCCCCAAGCTGAATTTGAATTAATGTTCCTATAAAGCAGTGGTTCTCAACCTTTCTAATGTAGCGACCCTTTAAGACAGTTCCTCATGTTGTGGCAAACCCCCCAAACACAAAATTATTTTCGTTGCCTCTTCATAACTGTAGAGTATATCTGTTGTCCAATGGTCTTAAGCGACCCTTGTGAAAGGTTCGTTCGACCCCCCAAAGGTTGAGAACCGCTGCTTTCAAGCAAGCAGCCCAAAAAAAGTCGATACATTCATGGTATAGTGCCTCTTGCTGTTGTTTTTGTTTTTTTGCACCTCTGCCTGAACATGAGTAGCAAGAACTGCAATAATGTTTCCGTTACGGTGTTACTCTACACCCAAAACACATCAAGCAAGGCGGTCATCCGCATGAAAGCGTACACCTGGAACCTTGATCTAGTAAGTAGCCCCCACCCACCACCCAACCTTTTTTTCGTTATAGCCACAGTGAACAATGTCAAGGGTCCAGGATTCCATTTCTTCCTCCTAGCCCCCCCCCCCACAGGGCTGATGTGTGGCAGCAAGTCAAAATAACCAGGAGGAGTTTGAAATTTCGGATGTATTGATTTATTGCCTAAGTGGTCAATACATCCAAGAATTGCCTAAAATGTCAAGGGTCCAGGATTCCATTTCTTCCTCCTAGCCCCCCCCCCACAGGGCTGATGTGTGGCAGCAAGTCAAAATAACCAGGAGGAGTTTGAAATTTCGGATGTATTGATTTATTGCCTAAGTGGTCAATACATCCAAGAATTGCCTAAGTGCCCCGTTCAGTCCAACAATCGCCTAGGTGTACTAAGCAACTGGCCTCTAAATGTACAGAGATTTTTAAACTAATGTTTCCCATGATTACTCGGTGGCCAGATAAGGCTGAGTCCAATCCATGACTCTGAGGTACGTTACAATCGTCCATTCATATAATAATAATCATTGGAACAATCCATTTCTAATGTCTTAAAGGTTTGAGTTGAACAAGATCTCAACACTAGAACACATGGGCACTCACCTCGACGCACCTGGACACACCTTCAAAGGTAGTTGGAGAGTCCACCAGATCCCCGTCGATCGTCTCGTGGGACCGGGCGTGGTCATCGATGTCCGTGCCCAGGTGGCCAAAAACTCAGATTACCGACTGAGGTGAGTACAAAAAAAAACAACAAAAAAAACAGTGTGATTCCTCACATTGGGCCTGAAGGTTTGCTGACGGATTTGCGATGGCTCTGCGAGCTACTTGTATTTTAATTGTAACTAATCATAATTAACACGACGCATTAAAATGCACGTAAACTAATTGGCGCGTGTGAAGAATTTTATATATTATTGAAGTACATAATTTAAAAGGGGACGCTTTTGCATATTCTGAAAATGCAACGCTGTTCCGAAATGTGTCTTTTTCCCGTTAGTTCCTGACAGCCATATGACGGGGAATTATATTATTTGAATTGAAAGGATGAATAATAATTATTGAGATGGAAACTTTATACCAAGGGGATCATCAGTGATAAATCGAATTTCATTGAAAGATTCAGCCGTGTGACAATCTAAAACGAAATGCAGAGCTAATGATCAATTTTACAAAATAGTTTCACCACGTTATTTGCTATCAGACAAGCTGAGAACGAAATTCAATAATCCCAAGTATTATTTTATCAGTGTCTGTTCCCCCCCCACCCCTCCCCGACACACGACGCTGAAAAACAGATATGTTTTTGGCAGGACAATTAAGTATAATGTGATTTGATAATGAAAATCCATTTGTTGTTTTTTTGGTGGTTTTTTTTTAAGAGCCGTGGTTTTGTTCTCGTTGCAGCGTCCTGGATATTGAGAGGTGGGAGAGGCTTTACGGAGCCATCCCTAATGGAGCCATTGTTTTCATGTGGTCCGGCTGGGATGTCCGCTACCCGGATAAGTTCTTGACGTTCAACAGCATCACGCCGGGCAATATTTCAACGTTTCACTTTCCTGGTCAGTTGTTTAAACTGTGCTGTGCATAGCCCAAGGATATTGAAATGAACGGTCTAAGAGAAGCGATATCATACAGATATAACACACTCGATGGTTTCAATTTCTCACCAACAGTTTCAATGTGCGGGTCTCAGTGCATATTGGCGAGGAAGAAAACGCTGACAGGCTATATGCAACAACCATCTCTCTCTCTCTCTCTCTCTCTCTCTCTCTCTCTCTCTCTCTCTCTCTCTCTCTCTCTCTCTCTCTCTCTCTCCCTCTCTGTCTGTCTTTCTTTCTTTCTCGCTCACACACACACATACTAAAACACACAGTGTGTGTATCAATCATTCTTTTTCATTATCTCTCCCACTCTCTCTAGATCTATCTGTCTATCTGTCTGTCCCTCTATGTGGACCCATTGTTTCTGCCTCTACTTGCACCCCCCTCCCCTAGCTCCTGCTGTCTATCTCCAACTCATTTTTATATTTTCTCTTTCATAGCTCTCTCTTTCCCTCTCTCACTCACTCTCTCTCTCTCTTTCTGTGTGTGTGTGTGTATTTCTCGCTCTCTTCTTCTCACCTTATGTTTGAAGCTAGAGAAAGATTATCCATCTTATCAATAGCCCCCATTGCTCCATTTAAGACATGCACGTATACTTCAAACGTATCACTATGTCCCCAGGCTTCCACCCCGATGCCGTCAGGTGGCTGCTCCGGTACAGGAACATCAGCATGATCGGCGTGGACACCCCGTCCACGGACTACGGGCAGTCCAAGAACTTGGAAGTCCATCAGCTCACTGGGGGCGCCAATGTCATGGGCCTGGAGAACGTCAACAACCTCTGCCAGGTGCCGCCCTCCGGCGCCACGATCGTGGTTCCGCCCATGAAGGTCTTCGACGGCAGTGGCGTGCCTGTGCGCATCCTGGCGCTGGTTGATAAGGCCGGGCAACCATCTCGCAGATGTCCAGATTGTACCCTCGGAGGTAGACGCCCATATCCGTATTAGTGCGAAATGGGCTGTACAATAACTGATCAATGCCTATACACTATTGATATCTAATCAATGTCTATACACTATTGATATCTAATTAATGTCTATTCGCTATTGATATCTATACTTAATGTCCGTACTCTATTGATATTAATCAATGTCTATACATTATTGATATCTATAGTCATTGTCAATACACTATTGATATCTAATCAATTTCTATACACTCTTGATATCTAATCAATGTCTGTTCACTAATGATGTCTAATTAATGTCTATACACTATTGATGTCTAATCAACATCTTTACATTATTGATAGCTAATCCATACACATACAATATTGCAATCTACTCAACTGCTATACAATACCGATGTCTAATATCTTCACGATATTGAAACCTAATCTATGCGCATATGGTAGGGACACCCTGTCCGTGTCCGTGCAAAGGTGAGCAGCTCTGTGGTGAATCTTTTAGGCATACAATAAAGATACTCCGATGGCTTATCCCTTGTTTTTCTTATCTCTTAATGCCATATTTTTTAAAATATACAACCGAATGTGTGTGTGTGTGTGTATTTTTTTTTTATTTTTTTTTAGTGACTTGTGACGATAAACTCTTTTGAATTTCACACTGGTCATAAACTGACCGATACAACCACACTTCCCTACTAAGGCGTTTCGGTGGGTTGGGGAGTTGTCAGCTAACTGATTTGTAGAATGTATAAAACACCGATGTAATGGCATGTCATGTCATGTGGTTACATTCTTGGAGATAAAAGGGAGAAAAGCATTTATAAGAAAATTATCTACACACTCTCTAACCTCTATAGAAGACATAATATAACAAAGGAAGTCATGTTCTAACTTTAAAAAACCTTAAAAATCAAAGGTTTTTTTTGTAATGTCCCGTTATAAAATGTAATATTAAGCAATGGCGAAAAGAATGGCGCGGGGAGGGGGGGGAGGGGGGGTCTAGAGTATTTGACAAAACATGAAGACACGTAACTGACTTTATACAAATTCCAATGAGTATCCCCTCCCCCAAGGCTTGCAACCGCAATTATTTTTTTTTTGCACGCCCCCTGAACTATAATAATTCTAATGACCCACCCGCTTTAGACCTCAGAGTTATTTCACCAACTATGTCAGAAAAGCGAAAGAAAATATTATACACTTGCGATACTTTCTTGGTTTTTAATGGATCTCATTTCGCGCAGTCATCGGAAATTTTCCCTCATCTTCCTCTTGAAAAACAGGAGTATTGATTTTTGGGCGTTGTGAGATGGGGGGGCTGTCTGTTATAATGTGTTGTCACTGGCAACGAGTCTATGTGCCACGTTCCAGCTCGATAGCTTGACCGGGTGGTGGGGCCAATTAGTCGTGCTAAGATGCTTAGCACCCAGCCAACCACAAACAAAAAAAAGGAAGTTAACATGAAGGATTTTAAAATAAAAATAATCGAGGGGACGAAACAATTGGTGAACATTCAAAGACGTTTGTGCTGGCAGTGAAACCCAGCTATAGCACGCGCCGTTCGGGTATAACAAAAGTTACGGTTTCACTCTGTCATGGTATGGCTAACGACATTTTGGTAAATTCCTTCCCACGTTTGGAAATGTTTAGATCAAATACGCGAAAGGAAGAATACAGTTAAACAACACTTAAAAACAACGTTTTTCGTATGAATCCCTTATGTACATTTTAAAATTAATGTAATTTACATTAATATTCTAATGTCCCATCTGCTTTTACACCACAGATTTTTTTCCCCAACTATTTCAGATACAGATAAAGAAAATATTTAAGGATGGCATCAAACGCACTTGCGATATGTGTTTTTTAAAGAATCTCATTTGGTTCAGTTATCGGGAATTTTATTTTGTGAAATCAGTGGCATCATATTCCCTTCATCTTCCCCTTGAAAAAAAAAACAGGAAAAACGGATTTGGGGGGGGGGGGCGTTGTGATGTGGAGCTGAATATTTGACAGAATGCGATGCCATCGACAACGAGTGTATGTGCCATGTTTCAGCTCGATAGGTTTACGGGAAGTGAGTCAATTAAGCGACCGAAGATTTTGCCACACTCTCAGACAGAGTGAAGAGACATTTGGACTGTTGCACAAAAGGAAAAACTATTTCAGAAATCGGTTATAAATAGACAATGCATTTAATGCTGCTTTCTAAGCCAGTTTCTGCGCAGCCATCCTGTCAGTTGTACGGTGACTAAATAAAATGGAAATTAATTTTTTCCGTTATATCATTTCGGTATTTGAAAGCAGGCTTTGTGTACACAGACTGCGTTGCTAAAAAAATTTTTTTAAAAGGTCAAAAAATAGATAAAAAGTGTAACATAATTTTAATTTTAAAAAAAAATCGATCAAAGGCTTTTGAATAAAACAATCAATTAGTATGTGTACTTTATTGAACATCGTTAAAATTGAATTTTTTTGTTTTTTTTTAAATCTCTTTTTCATTCATCTTGTACACAAGGAAAAGCATCACTCACTGGGTCTGGATATACAGAAACATTGGATGCCGAGTGGTGAAGTTAAGTCGACGTTGCTTCGGGCCTACTTAAACAAAAATGCAATCGCACTACTTCATTCAATTCACACGACATGTGTCATCGACGCTGGACGTCCCGACTCATAAAAGCAGTGATGCGCTTAGACAAAATAACGACCGGGGCGAACTCCCCAATGTGCACCCTCTTTCATACACACACACACATCAATCATAAAACTATATATATAAGCCCCAAAAGTGTTTCCCCGGGGAGGTTCGCCCCCCCCCCCACTTCCTCCTTTGCAGCCTTACGCCCCTTAATAAAAGACCAAAGTAACCGAGAAATTATGCACACTCACACATCACATGGCAATGAGAGGTAATGAAAAAGTGGGTTTAAAAAAATCAAGATCAAAATCCAAGCGCCCTTCACCACAGATTCATCCAAAAGGGTTGAAGTCGCCCGGCACTGTTGGTGGTACAGGCGGCGCGGTCATCTTTATTGACCAGGGCCAGAATCCGTACAGGCCCGCCGCTGCCGTCAAAAAGTTTGATGGGAGCCACAACTATAGTGGCACCGGATGCGGGAATTTCCCCCAGTTTGTTGACGTTCTCCAGCCCCATGACGTTGGCTTCGCCGATCATTTGGTGTACCTCGAAGACCCTTGATTGGCCGTAGTCGGTAGACGGCGTGTCTGTTCCGATCATGCTGATGTTTCTGTTCTGGAGGAGCCAACGGACGGCATCGGTGTGGAAGCCTTTTTTTAAATTAAAATTAAATAGGCAATTTGTTAACATTTTTAACTCCATATCTTATTTGAAGTTTACTATCGAAACCTTAAGATGGCAAAGAGTGGCGTGGCTTGGGTTAATGTCCCCCGAGAATTTTACCGAACCCATTGTACGAAAAAGGCTCTAACTTTGGCCGAAAATCCCCCCCCCACCCCCCCCCCCCCCCCCCCCCCCCCCCCNGAGACAAAATCTAATTTAAGGCACCCACCCCCCCCCCAACAAAATAAATGTATATTTTAATATACGGTACATATTGGTTCCCACAAATCAGTTGCAGGCCAGCCAAATGTGAATATTTTTTTTTATAAAATCATGAAATAACCTTACTGAATAAGTCACCATTACAGATCCCTGTTGCAAAGAGGTCAATTCCTTCCGGTCCATCTCACAGAAAAGTTTGAGAAACACTACCCCTCACAGCACATTGGCATACATTATTATATATGTATTAAAAAAATAACAATTTTACACTGCATTTACCTGGGAAATGGAATGATGCTGTGACGTTGGGGGTGGGGGTGTTGAAGGTCAGCGTTTTGTTGGGATATCTGACGTCCCATCCTGACCACAGGAAGACGATGGCCCCTGCAGGGATTGTCCCGTGCTTGCGTTCCCAGGTTTGTAAATCTGAAACACTACATGACATTCAAAATAGTGTTAAAATCTGAACAACAAGGCAGGACAGCGGCTATTCTAAATCTTAAAGTCTAGTCCGGCCACTACAGCAGGAAGGGAAGTAATCAGATCAGGTTATCACCAGGAGAAGGTGTCACTAAATCTGGCAGACAAGAATTAGGTCTATGGGATGGGAGGGTGGGGGGGGGGGACACCATGAGTTTCCAGCACAGGGTGATGCCAGCTCCAGTGACGCAACTAAATGCAGACTCTTCTTTTGATAAAAACTCAACTATAGAATTTTTGCATAGTTAGTCGTTAATTTTGAACCCACTGAGTAATAAGATCTTATTTTTCTCACAATTTATTTCTGGTACCAGTTTTTTTTTAATTAAAATTATTATTATTATTATTTGAAGGTTTGAGGTTGCAATTTTTTTTACCAACACTTATTAAAAACATTTCACCAGCAATATCGGATTGCTTCAGCGTTATCACAGTTATTGTTTTTAACTAATCTGTCATGACATCTATCTAAAAATCTGATCCCCATGAGAACAGTCTTGCCAGTCGTTTTAATCTATGAATGTTGGATGGATCACCCTTAGATTTTTTAGTTCATTTTATTGTATATCATTAAAACTTTCAAAACAACAAAGAAATATAAACTTTGCGAAATCGTAGATGGGATCCCTCATTACTTTGAAAAAGGCAGAAATCGTTTTAAGTTAATCATCCCATACGTCATGGTGTGCAGGGCTGGGACAATGGGGAGACAAATGGGGCACTTGCCTCGGGTGAACAATAAGTAAGTCATTGAAAGTCAATAACTTTAAACACTAAATACATAGGGGTGAAATTTTATCCTCCTGCCTCACAAGAAAATACCTGTACTTCCGACTCTTGTGGTCTGATGATATAATCCAAATTACTATAAACTTAAGTTCTTGTTTTTCAATTGATATTTTCTTGAGAAGCTTCAGACAGGTATTGAATATCTAAAGCCAGTGGTCTGCAAATCGCGGCTGGTGAGCCGCATGCGGCTCTTTAATGACATGAGTGCCACAACTCGGGTTTGACTCCGACGAAAAACATGGTAATTGACAGGTTCTTGAAAAGTAATTTGACTCTCACAATGTTTTTAATCGTCCTGCTGCTGATTTTCGCCCCTTTTGACTAATGCGTTTGCCGACCACCGTAAAGATGATGATAGGTAACAGAGGTTATCCATAAAAGGATAAATTAGTCATCCTTACAGATTTTGTAATTAACAAATTTAAAAAGGAAAATTTAAAAGAAAAAAAATAATAAATCCATCTAAGTATATACAGCATGTTCTTGAATGAACTTACACGAGTCTGTAGTCAGAGTTAGTGGTCACCTTGTCTCTGACGTCAACCACCACTCCGGGTCCGACAAGGCGATCAGCGGGTATTTGGTGAACTCTCCAACCCCTCTCAGAAAAGTGGGCAGGTGAGTCCAGGTGTGTGCCGACATGTTCAGGTGTGTCGAACTTGTTGAACTCAAACCTGTATTACGTCATGTGTGTGGGGGAGGGGGGGAGAGATTAAAATATATGTCTATAATATTTACTTGTATTTTTATTACTACAGTATATGGGCTAATATGTAACACCATTCCATTCGTATGGCCGTCTGGAACTAACTATGTGAGAGACAACTATTGAAAAAGCATTGCATTTTTATTGACTGAAGTTTTGCTCTCTTTACAATTCCTTTCAGATTTTTTCATTGATTTCAATGAAATCCAGAGGTAATTTTTTTTTTAAATGTATAACCTGTCCTTTGGGTTACTAATGAGAAACGCAAATCACTGAGGTGACTAATTAATAATTTAATAAACTGCCCCTGAAGTGACAAATTTAATAAGCTGCCCCTGAAGTGACTAATTTGATAAGCTGCCCCTGAAGTGACTAATTTGATAAGTTGCCTCTAAGATGACTGTTCTAATAAGCTGACCCTTTGGTGACTAATTTGATATGCTGCACCTGATAAGCTGGACTCCTTTATTATATATTGCCTCTCAGATTTCCTCTCTCGTCTCATCGGAGAGTCTTAATGCTTTATGTCAACTATTAGTGTCCGACTAGTTTTAGTAATCTCATCATCGAAATTCCACGTACCTTTGAATTACATTAGGTAAGTTGTTGTTGTTTTTTTTTAATTGTTTTTTTTTAAGTCGCAATAATTCTAAAGGATTGATAAAAAGATTGCTGATAAATTCTTCCGTGAACTTTGTTAACACAGAACTAAAACTCCAGCATCTTAAACACGTCGTGTTTGTCTACGTTGCATGGTTTCAGCTGTCACGTGTTCTTGGTCGTGAAAATGAAGCTATGTTTGGGAAGTTGTTGTTTCGAGTGGGTCTCTCGACGGAGGAATATAGTATTCATAGGTCATAATTAATTTCGTGATATTTGAAGGGTGCCGTGTTTGAAAGAAGTGGCAGAACAATTCCATAATGGGATTTAATGAGACAATGTCGAGTATGGGCGTTCATTGATAATTGTTATGACTGAATATTATGTTTTATTACGCACGGTGTGTGTTTGAGAGTTTTATAAGTTAGTGAACGCTCTTCCCGCGCTTGACTTAGTGAGGCATTTTATGCTCATTTTGACGTATTGTCTGGACTGTATTGTGACGTACGTTCTAGTCGTGCGGCAGTCGAGAATGGAACTTTGTGGCAGTAGGATGGGTTTTACTTATGTCTGATAGCGAGCTGCGCTATATGAATGTGCTTGCAGAATTTACCGCCTGTGTTAATAATAAGATTTTAAAGTTACATTTATTGTGATAAAGGACTTGATTTGATTCAATATTAGTACGACGTATTTCAACGTGTGAAAGAACCTGACGAAATTAATCAATCCAGTAGAACAGGGAGTTGACAGACGGTACCTGGTGCAGTAGGTATGCTGTCTATTGTTACTATATTTAGGCGCTCTTGAAGGGTATTTTGCCAACGGAAGGGGGATGTCTAACCAACCTGTCATTTGTTTTCGACAATGAAAATCGCGCCCACGGGGATCTCCAAGAATGTGCTATGTTCGCCACTTCGAAGTCTGCGAGGAACATCTTTCAAACTGAACATCCTCCTTATGTTCTCTAGCCGACTGTTTAAGGACATGGTGCATTTTCGTACCGGGTGCAGACTGGTCGATCCTTGGCGGAGCCTGATATGTGGGCGCATTATTATGTATTGTTGAGATGTCCTTGATATAGTGTACGGGGATCCAGATTTGTTAAGGAATGATTTGTTAAGGTTCTCCGGTGAAACTCACGTTCCTTTACTGGTCGCTCAGACTTACCCTTCTCGCGACAGCGTTTCTGTACTGAAATATGTTACCTGGTGCCATGGGCGCCCGCAGAAAACTTTCTAGGGGGGGGGGGGCAAAAAATGGATTAACTTTCCGGGGGGGGGGGGGGGAAAAAATTTTTAGTAATGTTTTAATGTAGTTTTAATTTACTATAGCGTATTTGTATTGTGAACGAACGGACAGGACATCAGCTTAGTTACTTTCTCTTTATTTTCTCTTTACTTTAATACATTTTTTGTCTATTTTTGTCCAAAAAAAAAATTTCCAATCAATTCGGGCGCCCATGCCTGGTGCTGTCTTTATTTTTTTAATTTTTTAAATCTCTCTCGGAATTTTCTTCTGCCTTTTTTTCAAACACGGCCAACGTTCATTACCAGAGGTCCCCAAACTTTTTTGTCTTGTAGACCACTTGCCATATTTTTCGGTTTTGGGTAGACCCCCTGCTTACCTGATAATGATTTTTCGCAAATTCATTAACTTCAAATGTGTATTTCACAGCCGGTATAGTGCTACTCACTTTGAAAGATTTAAATTTATAACGGTAGTGAAGTGTAGTGTGAATTTTTTTTTTTTTTTTTAACTGTTAAGTTTTATAAATTTTATCAATTTAATTCAAAATTAAAAAGAACCAAGTTAAAATTTACTTTCTGTTACATAAAATAACCAAGCAAAAAATAAATGCTTTTAGTGTGAGGGTGGAACCTGATGCTTTAGTAATACATTTTCAACATTTGTCATCAATTGAGTTTGGTTTAATCTCAAATCTCCTCGGTTAATGATGTCAAGTTGGTTTCTTATTTTTTTTTTATTTTTTTTTTTTTTTGTGAGGAGATTGGCAACTGCGCTGAAAGCCCTTTACACTAGTTATGAGGATGGAAAAGCAATTAAAAACTCGTTAACCCCCATTTTCATTTCAAGGAGCCCAATTTTTTGTTTCGCTGACATGGACCCCCTTGCAAGTTGTCTTTGACCCCTGGGGGGTCAATATAGACCACTTTTGGGAATCACTGGTATAAGCGAACATGTTGGTCAGCTACGATATGTTTTTTTTTTATTTCCTTCGTTGAGACACCCATTTCCAACAACTGCTACTTTTGGCGAGAGTTGCAGCACAGCCAATACTACCAGATGAGAAGCGTATAGAGTTCTCAAGGTTTCCACGGAGTCCCATGGGTGTCAGCTGGAGACCCCCTGTCTTCGTTATTCCAGCGGTCGTAAATTATAATAAATTTGAAAGATTTGAAAACAAGTGCAGTAAAATAAAATGATTCAAACTCACCAATAGCCATCCGGCTGCCTCCCTCTATTTATGATTGTGAACGTAAACTGTGTGTCGCCCGGCCACAAGAGGGAGTCATTGCCCATAGCGTGCGTCATGTCCACCACCCTGACCTCAGTGGAACTACAGCACCGCACGTCACCCAGGGACAGTGCCAGGGTGATCAACAGAGTCACTAGTGTGTTGCACATTGCTCTGGTTTGATGACAGAAGATGATACCGGTTAGTGATTTGGGACTTACAGCTTTTTCAGTGATGCACATTTGAAACATGACATGATACGACAGACTGAATCCTCCATGACTTTTTAATTTTATCACGGTCTTTGTATTTTTATTTTTTTTTTACTTTTTAAATCGTCTTTGGTGTTAGCTTGGAACCAAGGGGGATTTCCAGAGGTTGGAATTTCTTACACTTTTGGGAATTTCTGGACTTCGCCAAAAGGAAGGAAAAAAAATCTTGGTTAAAAGGGGCAGGAACTTATCATATATTGAAAAAATGAGTTATTAACTGCATTGTTCCCCTTTTGAGGCCAAGCTCTTACGGCGAGACAGGTTGGTTTACTATGCCTGCACTTCGTCAAGCTTTAGTTGCAATCGTTGGTTTGTAATTAAAAACTCGATGAATAAATATAACCATTTTAAGAAGTGCAATGTTCTAAGCCTGTAATTTTGGGAAGAAATTCTTATGTAAGGGTATGCATTTTGAGCATATAAAAAAAGTTAAGTATATAATTAAAAACGCAACAACACAAAATTGCATTTAGCTGTAGATGATAGATGTCATGTACGTATGATGATAGATGTCATGTACGTATGATGATAGATGTCATGTACTTATGATGATAGATTTACAGCAGATTTCGTTTATTGAAATCATACATTCAATGTTGGCAGACTTGAAGGGAAAATATCTTCTGAAATGAAACACATGCACAATTCCGTATTCATATTTTAAAGTAATATACGACCACAAAAACCGGTACTGACATTTATATTTTTTCTAGCCTGGTGTTACACTGATGGGAAGAAATATCAACTTATGTCTGGCTCTGCACTGATGGGAAAAATATCAACTTATGTCTGGCTCTGCACTGATGTGAAAAATATCAACTTATGTCTGGTTCTGAACTGATGGGAAAAAATATCCACTATGCCTGGTTCTGCACTGAGGGGAAAAGTATCAACTTATGCCTTGTTGTGCACTGATGGGGAAAATATAAATTTATGCCTGGTTCTGCACCGATGAGAATAGTATTTATTAACTTATGCCTTGGAAACATCAGTGTAAAAACTCTCAATATATTTTGACTCGCCAATTGTGTATTCAGTGTACAAATAAAGAAATAATTCATTAACACCTAATTAACCTAACAACCTTCCTGATTACAACATCCAAAGAATTTTCGAAATAGTTAACTGAAATCACTGCAGAAAGAAAACAAACAATATTTCACATCTTTCTCCGTTACAGAGTGCATACATTAGTATATACGTTGACGAGAGTATCCTCTGCCACCTGTTTAAAGCGCTGGTCTAGACCACAGTGAAGACACCTTAAGCCTCTTAGCCACCTTCTGCCCCCGCCACCTTAAATACAAACACCATTCACAGTATGACCCGTTTCCGGAAGTTGTAATTCAAAACTTTCATATAGTTTCATATAAGCAAGCTTTTTTTAAGGGGGGAGGGGGTGGTGAAGAAGGTTGTGTAGAGTTCTCAATCTGTGTGGTCAAATTAATGAGCTCTTTGGAGAGTCTTCAAAATTTACCGAGCTTAACTGCAATACAGCAGTCTTATGATTGGAGCCAGTACGATCAATACATTGATCGTGGGCCCTCAAAATATAAAATAATGTATTTTTAAATAGATGTCATTTATTTTGTTTTAACGATCATCTCAAGTTCGAGGTCATTCAGTCTAACACAGATGGTCATCTTATTTGTTTTCCTTGTAAGAAAACACAGGCTTGAAAAATGGATTGAAATTGTGTATACCTGGGCTCCACAGGCTGATTGAAGAACAGTTCAAAGAGCCCTTCTTGTACCAGGAATCGTCAATGAGACATCTGACAAAAGCAGGTGAGACAGAAAATACAACACACTGACACTCTGGAACGTAACTCAATGATAAAGGCAGACACACTTCATGTATTGATTATAATGAAATAGCTTAAGGGGAAAAAACAAACAAAATCACACATAATCAATGGCGTAACTGGACCGTGTAAGAGGGGTGCACGCATCAATGACTTCAATTCCGGTAACGCACTTTCAAATTTTATAATTGAAAAACTTTTGCTTGATATTTCTTATAAGGTTGTTTTTTTTATAACTTCCCCCCCCAACCCCAACCCATGCCTCACCCCACACCACACATAAACATCTCACTAGTTTTTTTTTTGGTGTGTTTGGGGAGAACCCTAAAGTCACCTCTGCCAAGCGAACGTCCCATTCTTTCACCAGTTGAATGCCTTCAGCTGTAAAGCACGCATTGAGGCAAAAGTACTGAAGCCAACTCAAGTTGCTGCTAATACCTATCTAGCATGTACAGTTTTTTTTTAAATTAAATTTTGCTCGCATGAGCGCATTCCCCCTTCTGAAAACTATCATATCCATGGCTTAGGACCTGAATTAGTTCAGGTAACTTATGGGACGGATCCAAAATAAAAATTGAGGTGCCACTTGAAGGCTTTTAGAGACATCTAGTTCATATCGGATGACAGAGAGTTGGAGTGGTCCACTTCATATGACAGAGAGTTGGAGTGGTCCACTTCATATGACAGAGTGTTTGAATGGTCCACATTATATGACAGAGAGTTGGAGGGGTCCACTTCATAGGGCAGAGTGTTGGAGTGGTCCACTTCATAGGGCAGAGAGTTGGAGTGGTCCACTTCATATGACAGAGAGTTGGAGTGGTCCACTTCATATGACAGAGAGTTGGAGTGGTCCACTTCATATGACCGAGAGTTGGAGTGGTCGACTTCACATGACAGAGTGTTGGAGTGGTCCACTTCATATGGCAGAGTGTTGGAGTGGTCCACTTCATATGATAGAGAGCTAGAGAGGTCCGCTTCATATGAAAGAGAGATGAAGTGGTCCACTTCATATGACAGAGTGTTGGAATGGTCCACTTCATATGAAAGAGAGCTAGAGAGGTCCGCTTCATATAAAAGAGAGATAAAGTGGTCCACTTCATATGACAGAGTGTTGGAGTGGTCCCCTTTATATGACAGTGTTGGAGTGGTCCACTTCATATGACAGAGAGTTGTAGTAGTCCACTTTAAATGGCAGATTTTTGGAGTGGTCCATTTCCTATGACAGTGTGTTAGAGTGGTCCACTTCATATGGCAGAATGTTGGAGTGGTTCACTTCATATGACAGAGAGTTGGAGCGGTCTAATTCATATGACAGAGTGTTGCAGTGGTCCACTTCAAATGGCAGAGTGTTGGAGTGGTCCACTTCATATGACAGAGAGTTGGAGTGATCCACTTCATATGACAGAGAGTTGAATTTTCCACTGACTTTCTGAAATTAGAAACATTTGAACCTTACACTCTATCCTGATGTCTTACATGTCAAATAAACGGAGGGGTGCGTGAACGCGTGGACAATATTTATATTCTACCAAAAATATTTATATTCTACCAAAAATATTTATATTCTACCAAAAATATTTATATTCTACCAAAAATATTTATATTCTACCAAAAATATTAATATTCTACCAAAAATATTTATATTCTACCAAAAATATTTATATTCTACCAAAAATATTTATATTCTACCAAAAATAATTCTTCCAAAAATATTTATATTAAAAAATAAAAGATTTATTTTCTTCAAAACCAAATGTATATTCTACAAAGTCAGTATTTGCACTCTATAAAATCAAGATTCTATCATGCTATAAATTAAATGCCCTGTACGTTTCTATCGTGGTATAGATGGCTTTAAAATTTCTATCATGTTATGAATGGCCTGTAATTTTCTATGGATTTATAAAGTGAAAATTCAGTAACACGATTTCAAGCACAATTTTTTACTTTACCTTCCACCCATTGCGAGACATGGACACTCTTTTTTAATGATCAATATTAACTTCGCATTGTTTCGTGTGTTTGGTTAAGGCAAAAATCTTCGGACAGCTAATTGACCCACTTCCCGTCATCCTGAAACACCTAGACTTGTTGCCGATGACAACACATTCTATCAAATTTTCAGCCTCACCCTCCTATCCCCCCAAAAAATCTGTTTTTCGAGGGGAAGAGGAATCAAGTATGATCATTTGTCCCAAGGGCGTTTGTTTTGGTGTGGAGATTAATTGAGCAGCAGCTGCTTTCTGCTTTGCATTTGTGACGTATTTGGGTATGCAGTAAAAATAAAATGTGTCTTTTTTGGAGGGATAAAGGAGGAAATATCAAAATGTTTTTTTCGCAAAAAGTTGACCCATTTATATAACCGCTTCCTAATAGATTATAAATCACGTACAATAGCATTAATTCAAATAAAAATGCATTTAAAGTACTTTTACGAAAAACTTTGTTTATTAGAGGTTGTTTTAAGTCTTTCTTCGGGGATGCGATCATTGTTCTCCCCCCCCCCAGCTAGCCGAACATTGTCAGAGTTTAATGTACTGGTGCTCGAACTTTGTTTTTTTTTATTGCCCCTGACCACTTGATTCTGCAAATTCATCTCTATCCCGTTAAAAGCATGTTTGGGATAGGTGTCCACACGGACCTCTTGGATAGAAAATAACAAAATATGACTTTGTAAACTTAGGATTCAGATTAATATCACCTTAGCTGAAGCACCATATTATGCTCCACTGCATCTTCTTAATCAGCTTATGAAATTGGATTGTAAACCCATCTGAGGTTTTCTATCAATATAAGATTATCATTTTGCTCAAAATTTGTTGATGTTTTTTTTAAATTGTAACATATATTTCTTTTCCATGTTAAAATTGTCGCTGAAAAAAAATGCCCAGATCAAAAAATTGTTTCACAGTTCTTACTTAGAGCTCACACAGGCCTGGATATCTTGATAACTCATCTTGATCTTTTAGATCTATTAGTGTTAGAGTGAGTAAATTGTGTCCATAAGGAATGGATGCCATATTATCTTTTCAATATTTTGACTCATTCCCTTACAAGAGCTATATTCGTTTAATTACATTTTTTTTAAAAATTCCCTAGAGACTATTGTGAAGCCATTTCACATGTTTTTAAGCCAGGAATGAGACAAACATTTTTTTTTAAACATCTGATAAGCACTCTCAAATAGCCTCGTCTCTAATAGCCGTGTCTCTAATAGCCTAGTGTCTAATAGCCTACTCTCTAATAGCTTAGCTCTAATATGCTTAGTCTCTAACAGCCTAGTCTCTAATAACAGACAAACTTCAAAATAAATATCTGAAAAAGTTCGAAAATCGGATTTCATGTGTACAAAGGCTATCTTTTAAGAACCGTTGATTTAAAGAGTCAACCAAATGTTGTTATATTATCGCTAGGATGACACTATGCCAGTTTATCCAAGCAAGAAATGTTAGTGTTTTTTTCCTTTTTTAAGGAAACATTTTAACAGCTTGAAAATAACATTGAGACAGATATAATTTAGCGTGATTCTAACGCGTTCCTCCACCCCCCTTACTCTGCACCCCCTTACTCTGCACCCCCTCACTCTGCACCCCCTCACTCTCCACCCCCTCACTCTCCACCCCCACCAAAAACTAAATTTGCATTCGTCGATCCTTACTATTGCGGTATTTCAAAGAAATAATCTCCTACTTACAAATGAACCTGTAGGACATCAGATGGGCGCCAAAAGTGTCTGGGACACAGCATGTTCCTTCCCGCGTTGTAGTTATTGTTGCGTTAAAGGCATTTCATTACGCATGTATATGTTGGAAAAAGCTTTCAAAAGAACAGTTGAGGCGACAACACTAGACACATTTGCGTCTATTGCCTCAAGCCTTCCAACCCCCCCCCCTCTCAGTGCATGATACCCTCACAAAGTAGCCCTTGCCATCGGTGAAATATCCTCATCAACACTACTTACCGAAACATTGCAAATCCCCTCTAAATAAATAGGAGCCAGTATGATCAATAAATTGATCGTGGGCCCTTAATATTTAGAAGAAGAAGAAGAGACTCCTACTGACGATGTTGATCATGGGCGCCCGCAGTAGCAAAGGTCAAGTAGCGGGGTCAGGTAGCATCCCTCATCCTTCCCCCCCCCCCCCTTTTTAAAAAAAAAAAAAACCAAAAATACTAAATAACTAACTATTATTGAGAAAAAATACTTTATACAAAACAGCGAAAAGGTAATTTGATAATTAATAAAGAATTATGAAGCACTCTTGTCATAAGGGTGATATTTTAATCCACGCACCAGAGCACCGTAGCAATGACTGCCTCACGCACGAGACATGGGTTAAGTAATGAGCAGCTTTGCGGTCTTCCACTGACTCTCGTGCGGAGCGAACCGCGAAAGTTTCACGGGAGTGTCACCATGTTATGTTGCGCAGAGTATTGAGAACCGATCAATATATATTATACATTTATCACTTTTTACCTACATACAAAGTATGAAACATCTAAAAGGGCATCTCTAGAAAAATGATATAGGCTATAAATATTCTTTTTAAATTTTTATAGAGGCCCTAGATATAATGTATATATATATATATATATTGGGGTTTGCATTAAAACACACAATATATATTTTAAACATATAAATAGTGTATCTTAAGGTTAAATCGTGTCGATAGATTTTTTTAAAAAATTTGAATCGTTTGAAAACCACTGAGATTGTACAATTTAATTTTGACTATCGTGACGGAATGCTTGCCTTGAAAATTGGTGGGTGCTATTTCAAAGGTGCGACGCGGTGCCTTATATAATAATATAGCATGAGTGACATGAAAGCACACTAAGACTTGAAACCGAGAATTTATATTTTAAAGATATAATTGAATGGGGAGTGTTTCCAAAAAAAAAAGTGACGGGTTTGACCGCCTTTTTCCACTGATGTGAATAGAAACGTCCATTGACGGTGTAAAAATAGAAATCCCCTTTAAAATTGAGTTTTCCTGATTTAATTAAGTAGTGGTTCCAAACTTGTTAAGTACAGGGTGTCTTCCGGTTTAAAAAAGATAATAAATATGGACATAGATTAATTTAAATAACGGTTTCGTTCAAAGCATGTCGACTTTCTCACTTTGCCACTTACTTATGATTGAGAGAAGTTTTCAAAGATACACTGGAGCGTCCTTTTTTCCCCGGTACTAATTGGAACCGGGTGTGTTTGGGCTAACACGACATGTTATTTGAATGAACGAATACTCCCCATAGAGAGGTTTGCTTTCGTGAAGTTAGGGAATGGAAAACAAGATGTTCTTACATCGTAGCCATACAAGCACAGGTGTCAGTTATTGTTGTTGTAGAGTGGACGCATGAGTGTCAGCCAGGGGGACAGGGTTGGGGCAAAATATTTTTTGACAACAAATCCTCCGAGGGCGTAAACAAACACACCGTTGAACATAAATTTGACCATAATTTATTTAATTTAAAGATGTAGTCAAAGTAGGCTAATTAGGCGATACTAGGCTGTAGTGGACTTGTGGTAGGCTACATCACTGAACAATCGAGTGAGGTGGTAAGCACCCTTTTGAAGCTTGAACATTTTTTGTAATACTATTTTGAAAAATGTTAGCATTTTGACTAAATGTTATTGTTTTGATTAATTGTTCGTATTCTAACATAAAATGATAGTATTGTGACATAACATGTCATTATTGTGACATAAAATGTTCGTATTTTGACAATATGTTAGCATTTTGACACACATTTTTAGTATTGTGACATAACACGTGAGTATTGGCATTGGCGGGAATATGGTTTGGGTAAAGTTAACTATACGCACATTACACTCCGTCCTTTTTGTAAAGGTTGGCCATGATGAACACGCAGCCAATGAACTGCTCCGAGAACCGTCGGCACGGAAAGCCATTCACCAGCACACGGCCCTTTAGCAAACAACCGTAAAGCTCAGCAAATAAAGCGCATCCGTCGGTGAAAGTGACAGCTGAGACAAAAAGGTAGAGTTGACAATCCCTCAGTGGTGTCTCTCAGTGTAGTGTAACACTATAGCGAAACGTCCATTGTACCGTCTAAACCCTGACCTTATGTGTGAGATTTTTTTTCTTGTTTAAAATGTCATTGTGAGTGAGTGTTTACTTCCTGGTCTCCTAAGTCTTCAAATTTAACCACGCGCGTGCAGGTGGAGCGGGCGTCAATAATAAGCCATCTTGTTGTCTTAAAAAACACAGGGATGTCCGGGGGGGGGGGGGAGGCAAATCGACACAGCCCATTCAAGGGTATCCGACTCTGAAACCTGGCAGGGGACCCTGAAAATAGTATTCTCTTTCAAGGGCTGTGTGTGTGTTCGTGTGTGTTATAACTTGTGCTGTTGTTCGTTTTTAAAAAAATTATTTTATTATCTTTGTATAAGAAAAAACTTTTTTTCCTTCAATTTAACTGTACATGAAGTGGATTTATTCTACGAGCTTCGACTTCTTTAAGCAGTTACTCTAGATTTCCGACATCAGGGATCGCTGAAATGTTGTACACATCCTTTTTTTCCGCGGTACATTTTGATGTTTTAAGTTTTGACAATAGGAAATAAGTGAAACAGTGTATGGGGAAACCTGTTAAAAAAATAATGAAAGTAAACAAGTTTGTTTCGCTTATTTCCTTTTATCTAACCTGATTGCAATCTCTCCCTTTTACTTTTTAAAAAGACAACCGGTTATCATTCCTTTCTCTATATGTCTAATTGCATTCTCTCCCCTTATTACCCTCTTTATGTCTAAGCCAGTTAAAAATACAAAAAGTAAATCACAGTGGGCGATGAAATATTTCACGAAACAAACTCACATCGAACAAGAAGAGAGACAACCATTGAGCGTTGGAAGTGAAGATCTTGCTTGATGCGAAGAAAACTTACGGGAAAACTAGCCATTTTAACTATAAAGACACGTTAATATTCTTACAGGCATGCCATAGGCAAGGGCATATTTTCAAAGTCAAGTGCCCCACTAAGTGGTCTACTCTAGGTTTAAGGGTGTATTTCTTTATACAGCGCAATTATTTATCTAGTGCACTTATTTATACAGATGCACGGATTAATAACACACAATTCTTTATTCAACACTTCTTATTTCTACTCTCGCTTTTTCAACTTTTTCCACTGGAGGACGCTTTTTTCCACTGAAGGACGCTTTTTTCCACTGGAGGACGCTTTTTTTCCCCCAGGTTCGCTAATGTATGCAGGCGTGCCGAGACAGAGCCACACCATTGAAGCTTTTACTTTACACCAGAGGTTCTTCAAACTTTTCGGATCAGTGTCCTCACACAATGTCGGGTGGGGGGAGGGGAGCGGAGGGGGATCAGTTTGCCTCAGACAAATGGGGGGGGGGGGGCAGCATGCCCCAGACACCTTTGGCGAGCAGGGTTATAGTTTGAAAAAAAAAGGATGAACATTGAACATATATCAATTCTATGCACACTGCACATATGTCATTTCTATGCACATTGCACATATCTTAATTATATGCACACTGGACGTATCTCAAATCTATTCACACGGCACGTATCTCAATTACATGCACATTGCACACATTTCAATTATATGCACACTTCAAACATCTCAATTCTATGCACACTGCACATATCTCAGTTCTATGCACACTGCACATATCTTATTTGTATTGAAAAAAAAAAAACTTGAAAGAAAAAAAAACACATTTTAAAGAAAGAACAAAATATCCAACATAAACTTTAATTATTTTTTTTAAATAGAAGTTTGGCCAATGAGATTATCAATGTTTGGTTTCTAATTTGTCGCCGCTAGCTAAGTAGTTTGAGGACCCCTGCTTTACACCATACTGATTGCAAAATGCACGGGACATTTATCCGGAACGAACATGGCGTTTCGAGATCCCTTTGAAATCGTTGCTTTGAAACTTTAAAAAAAAAATTGGTTGGAAAGAATATTTTCAAGTACTTTTTAAAGCTCAAGCCGGCAGCTCATTTTTTTTTTTTTTTTAGTTAGTTAAGGGTCAAGTAGTCTGGTAAATGTATAAAAGAAGGCTAGCCATACACCTTTTCTGGCCGGTGTCATTTTCGGTCCACTTCTTAAAGGCTTATTTTATACCGCGTGTTTAATGTTTATTTTGAAAGTTTTGTGATTTTCATGAGTGAGGGGTGGAAATGTCAATGAAAACCCGGCGTCACAAACTGTAACTACACCTCTGGTGATGTTGTACAAGTGGTAGTGTACATGGGATGGTGTACACGTAATGGAGTACACGTGATGGAGTGCACTTGATGTTTTACATGTGATGTTGTACATGTGATGCTGTTGATGTCTTGCGAGGTGGGATCATTGTGGAAATGGGTTTTAACAAAGATACTGAAGCATTGACATGTATTTTTGTGGGTTTATTTTTTTAAATTGTAGAGCCTATTTATCATGTCCTGAGATATAATGTTATTGGAGCAATAACTAATCTTAGCCACCCCTTTCTAGCCTCTACTCCCTAGCCTCTACTCCCTAGCCTCTACTCCCTAGCCTCTACTCCCTAGCCTCTACTCCCTAGCCTCTACTCCCTAGCCTCTACTCCCTAGCCTCTACTCCCTAGCCTCTACTCCCTAGCATCTTATATTATTATTATTATTATCTGCTCCCTAGCATCTACTTTCCTCTACTCCTTACCTTATTGCTCACTACCCTATCACTCCTTCCACTCTACTGTCTACTTGCCTCTATTCCATATCATCACACTCCCAACCCTCCACCACCTATACTCTACTTTATATTCTTCACCCTCTACCTCCACCTCTTACCCCTAGTCCCTACCTAAACTCTTACTCCCTATCCTCGTACTCCCCGTTAGGGCCGGCGCTAGTCATTCTTAGGTTGGGTGAAAATAGGCAATCGTCGCCCTCTGGAAAATTATGGGGAGAGTTCAGATTTTTATTTTTTTTTAATTTAAACAAAAGTTTCCCCCTTCGCGCCTGTGTGATTATCCCGCATCGTTCCCGCCTTGAGCCGGCCCTGCTCCCCGTTATTTCCTTCCCCTCACGCATGGTCTCATTACATGCTTTATACCCTGCTTCTTACAATCACAACTGATCTAATTGAGCTTTAAACTCCACTACCCTCATCCTTTACCCACCTTAACGATCCTCATTGTTTCATAACATTAACAACCTTCTTTATTCTACAAAGCACTCTCTATAGCACATCTATTATCTTCGTTTTAAACACACCTATGCTCTCCCCTCTTATCCCTCACCACCTTATCCTCTGCCCCCCCCTCACAAACACAGGTTCCCTCTTATCCAGTGGCGACGCCATCAAATTTAACATGGCGGGTCCCTTGCAGGTCTTAAAAAAAATTGGCGGGTTCCAAATAAATGTATTAAAAATAAAATTTATTTATTAAATAATAATTATTAATCTACTAACTTAACCCAAAGTTTACATACATTGTCAATTGTCATAATAAATTTATTTGAATGTATCATATTTGTAAGGTCATTCACGTTTATCTAGAGAATCCACACTCTTGACACTCCACACTATTGACCCATTGACTCCAGATACACTGACACAGGACAGGCCAATTTCATTTCAAAATAATTCTGCAGTTAGGATACATTTCCACGAATTTGTCCACCATACGTTCCAAATCCAGTTTCTTGGCCCTCTGTGAATGTATCGATATTACAGCAATATTTGACACGCGCTCGTCAGTCATGGCTGTGCGAAGATGTGTTTTTATTAAAGCTAGTTGACTGAATGATCTTTCTGCTTTGCAGATGACACCGGTATCGTGCATCCGATTTGCAGTAGTCGTTTACTTTCGTAGAATGCCTCTTACAAGTTAAAAACTTGAATTTTATATATATTACATTTTATGACGTTAAAATGACTTTTGTTGTCGATAAAAATTTAAACATATACAGGCATTTAAAATGGAAGTTCTCTTACATGTAATGTAGTTTACGCTTAATGAGCATATATACAATATTAGTAACTAATAAAAATTTACCAATTCATTTGACAGGTCCAAAGTTTTTTTACCGGGTCCTGGGACCCGGCGGGACCTGGTGTAGCGTCGCCACTGCTCTTATCCCCTTACCATCGCTCGCCAACTAATTTTTTTTTTTTAAAGTGTCCAAAATTAAGGTTGTTTTACAATCTAAGAATGCATTCATCGGAAATGTATCAAGTTCACTGGCTTCATTATTAATACCTGTATACGGAACTTATCCAAAAGTAGTACCAAAAATTCTCACAAAACGAAACAAATGTGGCGGGAGTAAATGAAAGTAAAATTAAAGCTTACGTAGGTTTACTCATATTGGTAAATAAAAAGATAAGCCTTATAATTTACAAGTTAAGTGGTGCAAAATGGAATTTGGTAATAAGTCAAGGTCTAGATTAAATGCTTCAAAGAAACATGCCTTTGATGAACGGTATCCACACCGCCTTCAATTGTATAAAGATCCGCCGAACGATACAATTTCTCTGCAAGAGTTCGAGGAACTAGCAGTTGAACGACTGAAAGGTTGGTAATAATTTAATCAATAATAATGATAAAAATGTAATAATAGTATTTGGCTAATTTGGAGAGATAGTACCCTGACGTCATTTGCGTTTTTTGTCCCTAGTTCCGATAGTGATAGTGATAGGGTCAAAACTCTGGTTCCGATGCCGATAGTATAGCCTATAATACTATAATAGGGTCAAAACCCCAGGTTAGGGATAAGTTAAGCTTAGAGGGTTCAGGTTAGGTTTTGTTTAGGGATAGATTTAGGGTTCAGGTTAGGTTTAGGGATACATTTAGGACATAAATTCGTGGGTTGCCACAGCCAAGATGTCGGCTGCACAACCAAGATGTAGGCTACTATCTCTCCAAATTTACCAATAACATAACAGCAGTAGGGGTGTGCCGGATTCCGGTCCGGAATCCGGTTCCGCTGGATTTTGCACTATCCGGTGAGATCCGGTTCCGCCGGATTTACATGTATCCGGAACAACCGGATTCCGGAATCCGGAATATACCGGATTTCGGAATTTGCCAGATTTTGTGACTCACCGGATCATAATCTGAAATAAAAGTAATTCTCTTTCCCGAATTCCACACGATCACGATACATTAATCGATTGTTTCGAGCGTTGAGCTTGTTTAATGTTTAATATTCCGTACATACCAGAGGCTAGAGTCAGCACCGCTAATAGTGGCCAATAGTGTAGGGACTTTGATAAGAAAATTTAAACTTTTTGTAAAAATAAACCAATGGCATAGTTGAAAAGATGTAATTTTTTAAAGAATTATAACACCAAAATCATATTTTTAGCTGTTGTAGTTTTAAAGTTATGAATTTTTAAAGTACGACTTGGTTTGTCATTTTTTAACATGGACTGCATCTCCACATTCTGTGATCTCATTCCACCAATCCCGTCATGCGCAATGACTATATAGTTTATATAAGGCAACGCATTCCCTGCCTTATCACTAAAATACTGTTTAGACTTAGTTTAAACTTTCAACTTTGGCACATGAATAATTAATTAAAGCTTTCCCTGACCAATGGTTTAATAGTTTTTGCACACGGCAAACTCTTATGAATGAAACTCTGAGGTAGTACTACGATACAGTTATGCAAGTGGCTGTGAATGGTTGCCAATGACAACGTGTTGCACACGGTAAATTCTGATCATTTATAATATGGATTCTACCGGGTTGTTAAAGCTCAAATTAAAACATTCCAGTTTAAATGTCTTTAAATGCATTCTGAAACACAAGTTATCAATTATTTTGATGTAAATAGTGATAATAAATTAATATTTCCTAAGTATCGTCAACTTCCGCCATTAAAAAGGGGGGCGTGGCCAACCCCATGGCGAAATTAGGTTGAGCGAGCTGCATAACCTGCTGCGAACGCGTAGAAACATGGCGTCTCTCGTAAGACACTTATCCAAATGGAACGGAACTCAAATATATATCGAAAGTACTAATTTAATAATAAATAGACACACACATCGGAAAATTAAAAACTCGGATTTTTTGGCGCCGATTGCGAATTCCCATACACAAAAAGTAGTAGTCCACCTTGACTTACCGAAGTATCTACCAATAGTACCAAAATCCGGAATCCGGGAGAAACCGGAATCCGGATCCGGCGGATTTCGCATAAGAAAATCCGGATCCGGTTGGAAAAAACGGATCCGGCACACCCCTAAACAGCAGAATACTTTCTGAGGGAAATCCAAGACCCACAACCAAAGTCAAAGTATGCAAGATACTGAAGGCGAAGGGGTTAGTTATTGTAGAGAATGCATTGGTCATATGCTGATGACGTAGCACTGTTATGGAAAATTAGTCAAGACATCAAAGTTAAAATTGAATTAGAAGATGCTTCACTACAAGCAGGGCTGAGAGTTAACAACTAAAGTGACTAAAAAACAAAATACATGAATATGTTAAGAGAAGAACAGAATTAGAAACCATACTTTTTAAAAAGTAGATCAATTCAAATATCTAGGACCTTATTAATAAATGAAAAAAAAATGAATCACTAAAAGAAATAAAGGATAGAATGTTGGCCAGAAATGGGCATTCTTCAGTAGTCAGAAAATACTCAAAAGTAAAAACATTACAAGAAAAACAATTAAAACTTTATTTAAAACTGTAATCAGACCAGTTGTAACATACACAAGTAAAACTTGGACTCAACAAAAATGGCAGAACACCTATTAAACAAATGGGAGAGAAAATATCTCCAGAAAATATATGGACCAACAAAGGATGAAAATGGATGGAAAATACTAACCAACCAGGAATTTATAGACTATATCAGGATCCAACGCTAGTAGCAGAAATAAAAAGAGGCAGGCTACGCAGGTTGGGACACTTAAAAGAAGAACAGAGGAGTGAAGAGGGGGAAATACCAAATTCCCAGATGAAAATGGCTCAAAGGCAGACCTATATTTAGATGGATGGATGATGTGGAAAAAGATCTACAGCCTCTAGGAATCCAAGTATGGAAAAGAAAAGAATCAGTTAGGTCTTAGTGGAAGGAAGTGGTGAGTTAGCCAAAGCCTTACATGGGATGTAGCACGACAGGGATGGATGGTTTAATATTATTCTAATAATAAATAATTCAAACTGTTAACACTAATTTGACAAAAAAATACTAATTCACTGTTCCCTCTAACGTGCAATATTTGACTGACTGCTTGTGGTAACTGTTTTTGTTATCGACTAACTATACTATACTATACGATATGTCATTCTGTAGGCACTGTAGTCAGTGCCGCCTAGTCCTTGTTTGTGATTTTTTGTACTGCACCATGATTGCCATGAAATGAAGAATGTCTCAAGATGATGAACCATGACAGGACTGATTAGATAATCAAGAGTAGATGCACTCAACTGATTTACTTCATTGAGTTATCATGAGCCGGTTCATTCATTAATTGAACTTATGCTAGGTATTAATTATGTTTATTAAGTTAAGTACCCTACTTGTGAAGTTACTTTAGTAAAGTGTACCCTAAGGTTTTTCTAATCAAAGTCATGAAATGTAATGTAAGACACCGAGTGAAAGTGACATAAACATACTCTCACCACATACCTCATTTGATAGACCATCCAAAAATGTTTGAAGCAATAATGAAGAAAAGAAAACTGGGTTTGCACCAGAAAACTTTAAAAAAAACAAAAAAAACAAGAATAGTGACAGCTACATTGTTTTTCTGTTTTATTACTATGCATAAGTAGTAGTTTTGAAAGTGGTTGGTGGGAGGGGGGAGGCGGGAGGCTGATTCTTTTTACCAACTCCGTGATTGTTATTGTTAAAAAAAATGTTGGCTCTTAAGGGTTTTTGAGGCCTCTCTTTTACCTTATGTGGACATTTCTGACAGTAAGTTTCTTTATGTATCCTGGCTATTGGGATAACTATCCCATCTAATTACAGCTTACCTTTTATTTGGCATCAGCAGCCTTTTCGTCTATATCCCCCACCTAGGGACATCTACCACCACACCCACAGTAGTGGCAGCAAAATTCCCCTTCCCCCGAAAACTTTGTGTGTGTGATTCATGGTTTTGATGTTTAATGCAGGAGTTGATTATGAATGTTAGTAATACAAAACTCTACAATTGAAAAATTGTTAGAAATATTGTTGACTATTCAGTAATACTATTGATAACAAACTATTGCAATTTTGCTAATAGCTCAGTAGTTCTTCACATTTTCAGTAAATCAAATTATCAAATTCTGTGATTATTAAAAAAATTTTAAGCTATGGTTATTTTGGTTATAATTCTTAAAATTCATGGAATGTGCGACTGTATGACTGTGCAGTCAAAACATGTGTGGTTCTATATTTAGAGTATTGGAATATTGGAATTCAATTCTAAGCCTGACAATTAAAATAGACTCTTTTTTTTTTTATTTTCTTAACAAATTACAAACACACACACACACACACACACCCCCCCCCCCCCCCCCCCCCCCCCTACAAACACACACACACACACACACACCCCCCCCCACCCCCAACCTTCCCATTGGAAGCAACTGCTCTCATCCCCTTCCAAACCAACAGTACCAAACAACATCTTATTCTGCTTTTACTTTTAGTATTAGGCATTGGTAAGCTTATCTATATGAAGTAAATGGATATATTTATTGTCCATTGCAGTACTGAAAGCTATTGAGACCATTGGCATCACTCACCAGAAAGGGACACCTAAATATAATGAGCTGTTGGAAAAAGAGATAGCTGCTACAAAATTTAAAGATTGCTTCTTAAGAAAGACACTGAATCAGACAGTATGATGATTTTTGTTGGTTTAAAAATTTTGTTATGGATTTTTTTCCCTAGTGCTTTAACCAATAGAGTATTGAGAATACAATACTTGGTTTTCAAATGTAAAAAAATTATTATAAGCTATTTCATTTTTATTTACACCATGTACAATCAAAATAGTGACTTAAATTAATCCTCTCTTGGGTATGATCACAAAGGAAAAAATTATTTATTTTCAGAGAGAAAAGCATCATCGGTTAGTGCATATCATTTCTGCTTTCATATCATTTATGGTTGCCATTGTTTGGCTAAGTAAACATTTATCGGATGAAGTCACTGTGAATTGAGAGGAAAGAAATTATTCAGTTCAGAGTAAAAGTATATAATTTTTAAAAAAAAATTAAAAAGCAAACTATGCTGGTGGTGACTACTTGGATAAACCAGCTGTCTATCAATAACTTAAAAAAGTAAACAAGACATCACCCATGTCTTTATGGAATTCAGGCAATGTAATACCTGCCAAGCTACCATTTTGTGTAACCTAGGCTGGCCATTGTTTTGGGGGTTTAAAGAAAAGAACATGAATAGGTTATTCCTTTTTTTTTTCCTTGCAGCAAATGTTCTAAGACAGTACTTGAAAAAAAAATAATTCAAACCTAATTAGTTAAAACTCAATATTCTCTTTTTTTTTTTCATAGGAAGTAGAATTGGACAACCGTCGTCGGGATCATATGTCCCACTTCATCCTAAGACTTGCTTACTGTAGATCGTAAGTTAATATTTTCATAAATAGTCAGACTTTTAACGTTTAACATGAGTTGGCTTATTGTATTACAAATATAACGTTAACAGTTTGTTTATTCAAATGTGGGTTTAATTTATTTTTTTTTGAAATTGCCCTTGTGCACCAAATCATTATTCAGACAATGGTCAAGGAATGCACTTTTATAAACAATATTTGTTTTACAGTAATAAATTAAAGTAGTTCAAGATCCTAATGTAAGCTTATTTTTAATAGTATATTTGCCATATTTTTAAAAAATTGTTTGCTCTTTCAGCATTGTTTCCCACTTTTTTAAATTGTCGATATTTTCATTGTTTTAATCTTTCATTTGCAGAGAGGACTTGCGCAGATGGTTCCTTGCACAAGAATTAGATTTGTTTCGTTTTCGTTTCCAAACAGAGGACTCTGAGAGCAGAATTCAATTTTTGTCATGTAATGATCTTAAATATAAACCTGTGAGTTTATTGACAATATTCTGACTTCAGCATTAGGACATCTCAAATCCCCTTATGGTGACGCAAAATTCTATTACTCTGTTTTAATTAACTTAAGCCTTTTCGATTATAATAATCATTGGGGGCTTTTCCAATAAATATATCAATTGAGTTTCGATTTCATTATATATACAGTATACAGCAAACAACATTTCTGCCACTAATCCGCTTCAATATAAAATTATTACTAAAACTATCATTAGTATGTTTGGTTTTAATAATTCAGGTTGTTGTTGTTTATTTTAATCCTTCCTCAGGTTTCTAAAGAAGAACAGGAATTTGTGACCAAACAATTAGATGGTCCCGACCACATGAGCAATGCCAGTGATATTGAATACTACAAGGTACAAATAAACAGTGGGACTGTCTTAAATTCGATTTGAAATGGGACACACCATTATGCTGCTAAAGTTAAAATTTTGTTGTGTTTATTAAAGCACTGCCGCCGAACTTGTAATTTTTGCCTTATATTTGCCTTTACACATTCAGGCAAAGGTTTATGTTCACATTAAAATTCTATAAATATTTTCTTTCTTCTACTCTGTTTTAACATATATTTTTTAAATTTAACACATTTGTCACTAAGTTCGTCAGTCACTAAATTCGTCAGTCATTAAGTTCGTCGGTCACTAAGTTCATGTCATCTATGGCAAATTTTGTAAATGTAACGGTAAATCAAAAGAGTGATTAATGTCAATATATAAAAATTTTACCTTTAAATGTTTGTGTGTACGGATGTTGATATGTGAGTTTATAGAACTATCAACTACAAGACACAAAACTAAAAAATCTACACATTGCACAAAAAATGTTTCCAGTTTCAAAATACAGCAGCATAATCAATGGTTTTATCATTTTGCTGTTTAAGGATTCTCTGCAGAGACTGATAGCAGTTTAAAGCCAAATGCTTTATTGTTTTTATATTTTAAACTTTTGGACTAAAAACATTTTGACACGCAAAGATCTGTATAGATAAATGTCATACACATAATTACAGAATAGTCATTTGAAAACTGAATAATTTCAGGTTCCATTTTTGGAAGCCTTAGACTTGGTAAGAGGAAGAAAAGTTTTCCTTCTGTCTGGTTATGCCTATGTGGCCAGAGAGGATCTTGTGTCTATTTTATTGTCAGTGTACAGGACACAGTTATCTCATGCTCTGACGGTAAGTGACTTTTCTTTTTGTTTCACAATGTTCAGCCTTACACATTATTAAGTTTAATTTTCTTCACCTTATGTCTGTGATACCAAGCTACCATATTGTGTGACCTAAGTTTTTTTTATTAAAAGAACACTTTAAGTCATATCAACCAAAGTTCTTATTCCCATTTAATATATCATTTTATTTTATACAAGGTTACTTCTCGAGCATTGCCCAGTATGGAGGAAGATGGACGATTGTTACCCATGCTTTGTGGATTGAGTAAACGGTATTTGGGTCAAGACTACAGTGCGAAAAAACAAAATGTGGGAGTAATTACTGCAGACATGATTGATTTGGTAAGTCAAGACTTACTTTAAGGGGAGCTTAATCCCCAGTACAAGTTTCCAGTTAATGTAGTTTTGATACTCCTTGTTTGTATGTCCTTTCTACTCAATGGTATATGATATTAACAACATAATAATATTAGGGGTAATAAGGGGAGAGACTGCAATCAGGTTAGTACAAAATAAAATGAGTAAAACAGAGTATGGTTAAACCTGAAAAATTAAACGCAACAAAACAGCGAACGTGTCGGCAGAAAGCCTTCGTCAGCGAGGCCGCTGGCTGAAATTGGAATATTTTGAAAAGTTTATAATAATTTAAAAACCTTTGCGGCCGTGCTTCCAACATCTCACCAAAGTTTTAAGTTTTATTGCAATCGGATAAATGGCGTAGGAGCGCATATGAAAATTATTTTTTACAAAGCTCATATTAGAAAAAATACGAATTAAGGGCCAACGGCCGAAAACAGAATGTTTTTAAAAGTATTTAAATGACACAGTAAAATGCACTGGCGCATGGACAACAACTCACTAAGTTTTGTAGCAATCGCATGATTGGTGTAGGAGCGCATACGGTTTGAAAATATATTTATATAGCTCATATTAGGAAAAACGAATGGCTAAGAAGTTAACTTCTAGTGCTGCCCACAGATACTACTTACCAGCTAAGTGCTATTTCTTATTTTTATAACGTTTTTTCTGTTGTTTTGTTCGCTGACGAAGGCTTTCTGCCGACACGTTCGCTGTTTTGTTGCGTTTAATTTTTCAGGTTTAACCATACTCTGTTTTACTCATTTTATAATAATATTACCTCTGTTTCAGCTTTCAAAGAAGTCATTCCCTCTTTGCATGCAAAACATACATATATCAATGAAACAGAATCATCATTTGCGTCATGGAAGTCGATTGCAATATGGACTCTTCTTAAAAGGCATTGGCCTATCTCTTGAGGAGGCTGTCAAGTTTTTCAGAACTGAATTTATAAAGAGTATGGACGTTGATACGGTAAGCTAAAACACAGTCTAAATTTATGTATAATTTTGGTGTGTTTTAATTGATATTTTAAGTGCTACTAATATTTGTACTTTAGAGTTGGTTTGAGTATTTTAATTTGCTAAATTTAATTACATTTTTTTTTACTTCAGTTTGATAAGAAGTATTCGTATGGCATACGCTATAATTATGGAAAGGAAGGAAAGAAAACTGACTACACTCCTTACGGATGTATGAAAATAATAATGAATAATGCTCCAGCTGCTGGAGATTCCCATGGTAAGATTGGCAACACAGAGATTTATAGAAATAAGCATTGTAGTTTCATGCCTGTAGCTACAGCTACATCTACAGCTACATCTCTTGTTAAAGCTGTCTTCTTAAATTTATCCAAATGTCTAAAGCTTAAGATATAAATACTTTTATTATAGTTAATTTCTCTCCCTTTTCAAATAGGTTGTCCCTTCAGACATTTTGATGCAGATTTCCTTAAGCAACGAATATCAACACAGGGAATTTCTAAAGAAGGAATCGATGTTGTGAGTTTTTTTTATTTAAGCTGCTTAATTTTCCAGTCGGATAACTAAACAAAAACAAACAAAAGCCATTCCCTCAAGAATTCATTTATTGCACATTTTGAAAGCCTTAAAATTCCTTTGTCATTTAAACTTGTGGTTCAGATTAGAATTGAAAAATAATTTAAAGATTTTTTTTGGTTTGCATACTTACAGTAATGGAACAGATTCAGTCAGTGTCTACCGGGATCACATAGCTTTGTTTGAAATTAATTTTTAAACTTTGATGATTCTGAATTTTTTGTTATTTATAATCCAGTTAGATCTAAGGTATATTTTTAAAAATTATTAATTAATTTATACAAACAAAATTAAAACATAATAAAAAAATAAAGGAAGTGGGACCTTTACGATGTTTCCAGTTTTCTTGTCTTTTTCCCTTCCTAAGTAACAGAACAATATGTATAAGACTATTATTGTTATTATAGATATATTAAGTATATTTAGCTTGCACACACTGAAATGTAACAGTTAGGCAAATACAATTATAATACATATTCTTATGCATACAACTACCTCATGCATAGTACGTTAGTCCTGGGTGTGGAGTGACAGATGCAGAGTTGGGGGGCGGACGGGGAAACCATCAATAGCTTTATGTTGAATTTACGTGACCCTAACCCCATTATAAAGCAGTTACTGTTTATCGTTCTGTTTTCCCCTAATAAGTAAAGTCAACCTGAAACTTCATTTAGCCATTGGAGGTCATTTGATTGTTTAGAACTTAGGCATTCAACAACAAAATTCAAAATCTTGTTTTACGGCTGTAATTTTAGGTGATGAAGTACACCAAGGGAGGTCACTATCAGGTAGCATGTGCCAAGTTTTTTGAATTGACACATGGTATCAGTGATGCTAACAGCGAAGTAGAAATGGTCATTCAGCATCCCAACCAGTATTTTGAACACAGTCAAAAACTGCTACATGGTCAGTAACACTTGCTGCTTTAAAATCTCCTTTTTTTAAGAAATACTTTTCTTAACTTATTTGTGAAAGTCTTTTTTTTTCACTTGTTAAGTGATAGTTAAAATATAATTTAAGTCAGCTTAATCTTCTTCATTCTGCTCTACCATGAGACCCACATAAGACAAGGCATGCAGTCTTCAGCAGTCTTCTCCTTTAACTGTAGTTTTTCATGAAGTGGAGTTCATGTCAGAACTGTCTTTGATCAATCTCATGTGCTATGTATGCTTGGGACAGTTGAGGGAATTCAGCCATTGTCCTAATTCAATCACTTTGTGTTTTTTTTATCATATACATATAATACGACCATTGTCACACTGTGACCGACCATCGTCAAACTGTGACCGACGGATGCCATCAAAAAAAAAAGAAATAAGGATATTTAAGAAGATGGTTGTGGCCCATTAAATTTAAAAGTCACGTTTTCCATTTATGGCTAGCTGTCTGGGTTTTCATAGCTCTACTTTTTAAAAAAAATTTGTTATTACTTAGTAAAAATGAAGTAGATAATAACTCTTGCTTTATTGAATCTAGTTCATATAGGTTTTCATTTTTTTTTTTTAATTTTTGTATGATGTTTTCTAAGGTTTTAAAGTATATTTATAAATTTAAAAAAAAAAAAAAATCAAATTTTAATTTGCCAATTTTCTTATTACATTTATTTTGAAAAGAAAAAGTTATTACTTAGTAAAAATGAAGTAGATAATAACTCTTGCTTTATTGAATCTAGTTCATATAGGTTTTCATTTTTTTTTTTTTTAATTTTTGTATGATGTTTTCTAAGGTTTTAAAGTATATTTATAAATTTAAAAAAAAAAAAAATCAAATTTTAATTTGCCAATTTTCTTATTACATTTATTTTGAAAAGAAAAGCTATTGTAACAGGATTGTGCCTTTTAAAAAAAATATGCAGCATATTTGTTTTTACTTTGATCGTTTTACTTATAATTGCAATTGACTTATAAAAGCTCAACTCATACAAAATCCACTTTGTTCTGTACCTATAACCATGTTTTTGTTGTTGGTAAATGTTTTTTTCATGAATTTAAAAAAAAAAAACCTTCAATTTGATTTTCTAGGACCAGCTAAACCTATATCCACACCAAGGGGTGTTAAGATTGTCAATAGTAATTCCCAGGCCTCGAATAGTACAAGTCAAGTTGTTAAAGCAGAACCTATGGATGAAGATACAAACGCCTTAACACAAGAACAGTTAACCTTTCTCGACCATGACATGTAAAAAAAACTTTCATTTTTCCCATATCAATTTAAAAATTATGACAATTAGCTGATGTTATTTATGTTATAGTGTTAGCCCATAATGATTAGAAATGAGCTGATTTCTTACTTGGAATTCCGAGTCAGAAATACTTAAGCAAATAATGTATCATTATGAATGAACTATGAACTTGCAATATTCTTTCCTTGTGATCTGTTTCCATGTTATGAAATAGGATTACAATTTCATTCACAAATAGACCTTTCAACCAAGCCTCCTTGGTTTTAAAAATTAAAATATTTTCTGAATAACCAAACCTAAAACCTAAATTATCTGGTTCAGCGTTGATATTTTATTTGCCTTTATGGAGGACTTTAGGTAAAGATAATGACTTGCACATGTAAATAAAAAATATCACACCATAAGTCAAGATGTCTGAGATTTGTTATTTTAAACATTGTTATTCCTTAAACAATACAATTTAAAATGCATTATTTGTGATTACAAACTTTGGCAACAGTGCACAGAAAACTTTGGCAAAAGAAAAATAACAGTTAATAATAATAATAATAACAAAACATAAATTCAGAGGAAAGAAAATTTTCTGTACATGAATTTCACTTGTATCAAGTATCATTACATTTTTCTTTTATCAATTTTAAATAAATTTTCATACATCTGCTATACACTTATTTAAAATCAATGAAGCAGAACAAATAATTTGATCACAATAATTATAGTCAAGGATGGTCTATTTTTTAAAATAAATAATAACGTAATATTTCATTTTTGCTGTCAGATGCATTTTAGAAAAATTCTCTTTAGCAAATATGAATGCCGTTGGATAAATTTTCCAATTCCCTGTGATTTGCCAGGTCAGCCGTTTGAATTTGAAATAAATTACATATTAAACTGCAAAAGATCAACACTTGCAATTATGCAATAAGATACTTTGGGGTTCATAAGGATGATTGCGCCCCCCCCCCCCACCCCCATTAGGGTTTACATTTCCAATTTAATATAAACACATTTGTAAATTTTAAAACTAAGGCCTGGGTAATTAACATAAGACTTGGGAAATTTTAAATCATGGTGAATTATATTCATGTGATTGTAAAATCTTTTAAATGATTAAAACCATTGAGGATTAATACCTTCTGCTTTGAAATGCAACAATATCTGCAATGTAAGTAAAAGATCAAGTCCATATGATTAGGTCTAATTGTGCATTAATTTATACATACTGGTAATTACTTTAGACCCTTTCATATAATCTTTTCTTCGATAATGGGCAAATTCATATCTGGCTGTCTTTGTATAAGGGATATCTGAAAGCCTTATCAGTGAATAACAATTTTAAGTGGCTCCTGTAATGTTAGGATGAGACCAGATATTCTATCAGACTTGAATATTGGGATATTGAATATAATCTGAATATGCATTATTCGATGAGGCATATAACCTGTTTTTGAGACAAGATTTGGCCATATTTTATTGGTAGAGTCATGTAATTGTTTTGTCTTGCATGAAACATAGTTTTGTCTGGCATTACTTGAAACAGCAACAATTTTTTTCGGATTTGGATATTCAGAAATCTCAAATTGAATATATTCAGAAAAAGGGTCTGAGGCTGCCTGAATGTCAAGTGACTCAGTTTTTTTTTTGTGAGGTGTCAAGTGACACAGTTTCTTTTTGTGAGGTTTCAAGTGACAGTTTCTTTTTGTGAGATGTCACTGACTTGTGAAAATGTTAAAACTGGCTGGTGAGGCCCATTTTCAAAAAACATCTGGATGTCTCTTGGGGTCGCTGTGTACAGGTAAGTGAGGAGATGTGGCATTGGATGAATCAAGTGTTAAATTCTGTAGGTTCATGTGGAAGGAATGGTACCAGGCTATCGGATGGTTTATATTGGTGTGGAAAACAGATATGTAATCCATGTGATTTGATGTACGGCAGTTTATTGGAGCAGAATTTTCAAAAATATTGTCATCCATACTAGATCGATAGGAGTTCGGCTGGGGCAACATGTGGGGAAGGTATGGTCCTAGCAATATTTGTGAAACATCATCACACACAGCTCTATGCACGGCAGAGACCTCCCTCTCCATCTTTGTATCTCCCTCACATGTACCCAACAATGGTTCTGTCTTTTCATCAGATGGAACATTTTGTTTAACGTTAATGAAAGCTGGCATCAAAGTATAATCAGCTATTGATGACGACCCATCATTGTGTTCTTGCAAGTCTTTAATTACAGCCGGCATTAGAGTATAATCAGCCACTGATGATGACCCGTCATTGTGTTCTTCCAAGCCCTTGGCCATGTTTCCCTCTGCATCTGAACATGTTAGTCCAACACTGTTCCTTAAGTAGCCAGGCATTGACCCTGTAACAAAATGTGGGGTCTCTGATTCGGAATTGGCACTGTCATCAAGTGGGGGGACCTCAGATTTAGAAGGGAAGTAACATGTGGTCTTAACGATTGGTTCTGATGAGTCAGAATGACCAGAGCAGCTCGGGCCATTTTCCAAACCACTGTGATTTGCTAGGTCGGCCTTTTGACTTCGAATCTGAAATAATTACATATAATTTACACTATTAAAAAAAAATCATCAAAGCAATTCAAATGATGCAAATAGGACACTTGAGGTTTCATAGAGAGAAGAGATCGCCCTCCCACCTCCCCTGGTGGGTTAAATTTCAAATTTAAATAATTTAAAATTAACATTCTTATAAATGTTAATACAATGGCCTCAGTAATTAACATAAGAATTTGGTAATGTAATAATAGTAACAGTCTCCATGCCATTGTAAAATCTTTTAAATGATTAAATCTAATTGGTTACCTCAGTCAAAAGATTCTTCATCTTCTGTTTTGAAACGAAACAGTATCTGCAAAGCAAGTAAAAACTTGACTACATGTTAATGAGTAATCCCTCATTAAACTGTAATATCAGAGTACTTCCCTCTTTAAAGTGTAATATATGAGTAATTTGCTCATTACAGTGTAACATCTGAGTACTTCCTTCATCCAAGTGGAAGATCTGACATATAAATATATTGGATTAAACCCATTAACAAAAAATTAATTACATTGTTAAACTTACTGTGCAAATATGATGACCAAAGTTCCAATGATAACAACAGCCAAGGTTGCAAAAACTATAATCAGAATTTGGCTAGCAATATTTTCTGGAAAAAGAATTAACAGGTTTGATTTGTCATTGTTTCCTGTATGTATAATTTCTTAAACATGATTGCTGATTTTATTATTGGTGTGTACAGTAAACTCAACTACACCCAAGAATGGTACTGCTGATTTTATTATTGGTGTGTACTGTAAACTCAACTACAACCCAAGAATGGTGCTGCTGATTTTATTATTGATGTGTACTGTAAACTCAACTACACCCAAGAATGGTACTGCTGATTTTATTATTGGTGTGTACTGTAAACTCAACTACAACCCAAGAATGGTGCTGCTGATTTTATTATTGATGTGTACTGTAAACTCAACTACACCCTAGAATGGTACTGCTGATTTTATTATTGTGTACTGTAAACTTAACTACACCCAAGAATGGTACTGCTGATTTTATTATCGGTGTGTACTGTAAACTCAACTACACCCAAGAATGGTACTGCTGATTTTATTATTGGTGTGTACTGTAAACTCAACTACACCCAAGAATGGTACTGCTGATTTTATTATTGGTGTGTACTGTAAACTCAACTACACCCAAGAGTTGTAGTTACCAGTGACAGCTGGTTTCATTTCCATCCACCCATATTCTTTACTCAAAAGTTCATCGACTTTACTCAGCACAGTGACTTTGTAGTTGGTACTGGATTGTAGTCCTGACACCGTATATGATGAAAGTGTGATTGTCAGATCAACAGACAGAATAGTCCTTGCATCTGGAATCATTTCATAAAATAAGACAATATATCAATACTGAAGAAATCAGTAACAACATTTTTTTTTACAAGTTTAAAAAAAAATTACGTAATCATTTTAAATACAGCATGTGCCGAAAAATAACTACTGAAAAGAAAATACTAACAATATTTCCTTGTTGTCAGCTATAAATCTATTTCTCCTGAAAGAAACTAATATACACACTTTAGCATGTTGATTTACCATGGTATGCGTAACATCAGTGTTCATAGTTCATGGCTGTAGACAGTGGTTCATATCACTCATATAGATTTTCAACCAAATCACTGAACACATTGGTTGCTGCAGACACAGTTGGAAACACTCTCTTTTAACATTCCAACAAGCAGGCATCAGGTGGGAGTGAGACTCGAATGGGAAGTCAGTGCCATGAGAAATGTTTCGACCAGGAAAGTTTCTCTGCAGCATGGCATTGCCATAAATTCTTGAGCAGTATGGCTGGCTGACCCGCCCTGTTGATACCACTCTCTATTCTTGTAAAGGTTCCTTGCATGACAAAACCTTCTAAAATCCTAAAGAAATGTCGATTACAATGCCCCTGAACTGTTCTTAGGTGATGGTTCGAGGATTGCCTTCCCCATTCTCAATGAAATAGGGATCTAATAGACAGTGTGTTGAAACAGCACATCATATCCTCACATGTGCACTGGGTATCGGCTTCTAGACAATAACATCTGGCTGCTCAAAACAAAGGAAGCGAGTTGCCTGGCTGTTTGTCGTAGCCATGCAAGTGAATGTGACTTGTTCTTAAGCCAAACATTTGTAAAAAAAATTAGGTTCATCTTAAACCATGGTCAAAATTGTTCCACAAAACATCATCCTGGCTTGCTCTAGTGTTGTCCAAACTGTATCCAGTATGAAAATGCAACTATGTACTTAGACAAATAGGCAAACGGACATATTCCTGATGCTCAGTTTCAAAGATGTTCGTCATGGACTTCTAAGAGCGAATGTAATTTCTGCTGCAGAACACATGCTTTATTCTCCTTTTTTTGAAACAAATAATGGCCTACCAGGCGTATCCTTCTGTTGAGACAGTACACTTCCAGACCAGCAAAATATCTTAACAACACACAGCATAACCATATTACATGGTGCCGGAGTCCTTTAAAACCAATTTAAAGACACATCTATTTCGCAAACACCTTCTGGGATGATTGTCAACCTTATTTTCCAGTTAGTGCATAATGGCTGTGTTGCTTGGGGTTGAAATGGCTAGAAAGACTTTGCAATTGTATGCTAGTAATTAGTTTTTGTAGTGTTGCATTTGTTTTAAATGTGGTAAATTATAGATTTGTATTTTGTTGACTTTGTACCGCGCTTCGAGCCTTTGGGGATGAAGCGTGTTTTTGAAATGAACTTTATTATTATTTATTAT